GTGTGTGTGTGTGTGTGTGTGTGTGTGTGTGTGTGTGTGTGTGTGTGTTGGGTCCATGTGAAATTTGTTTTTATCTTGTCTCAATCAAGATTGTACTAGATACTTCAAGTATGGTCACAACTGTAAATATTCCTGGTTGTTGGCCATGCTTGTTTTAAAAAAAAAAAAAAAAACCCTTAGTAATTAGTTTCCGTCAACGTCATGCACTTCCACTGTGCATGCCTTCCATGTGATAAACCTTTACTGTAAATGCTTTAACAGGAGTTACATTTGCTGCCATACAACTTCTGATGAAGGGTTGCAGAACACGTATGTCATTGTAAAAAAGGATTACAATTAAATAAAATGCTATCAAAAAACAAACCGACAGAGCTTTCTGAGTTTGAACTCCACTCCATAAACGGGTCCATAAATATCCAGATTTTCATGTTTGTGATGTAAATCATCTTTACGGGAATGGCCACTTCAATCTCCCACCCATTTTCCACGGGTTACTGGGGGCTGATTAAATATGATAATGCGCTGCTGACATCATAAGAAATGTTGGCGAGCTTGGAGAGCCACAGCCGGCAGTAAACATGTAATTTATGTCTGTGTGAATGGCTTGGCAAGTGCTGGTGCAACGCTTCCATCAATCAGCCGCACCAACCTTGATGCCTGTATGTGGCTCTGGCTTCCTGCCATTGGCTGATGCATCACCTGGATTGCAGTCTCCACGCAACAGGCTAAAATTGGTCGCAGTGGTTTGACCGGCACTCAACCCTTTTTAAAAGTCGGCCTTTGCAGCTCAGGTCAACGCAGTCAGCCGTCTGCATGTACTGTATTACAGCAGGGACGGAGAGCAGCTTATTAAGTAAGTCAAAGAACAGATCGTGTCATTTGTAACCCAGCAGTCACATGGATCACGCTGCTGGGATTTGTAAATGAACACCAATGGCACATGTCATGGCCTTCAGGGATACAAGGTCACGTCTGTCACCTCCAGATTTCCAAGCCACACTGCCAAGGATTCAAGCAAACACACAACCTTGTTTTTGGGAGAAATATCATCCACTCCTGGAAACGGGCAGTAATAAAAAGAATCATGTGTGCGCCGTGGTTCAGGTGATGATGAAGAGCTCTTATTTAAGAATAGAAAGGACAGGAGAGGCCTGGCTTTATAACCTGCTAATGGTGCAGAGCAGTGAGCAGAGGTGGTGTTAGGTGGAGGGTATTATCACTTCTGACAGATGGCACAGAAAGAGTTTGGTGGAGCAAAGTTCATCGTGCAGTGTAGCAGCAGCTACGGTGCTCTTCTGATGGCTCAGTCACTGTTTGTCTTTGTTTTGCTCTGGTGGTGATGCATCATACTATTAGCAGTAATGATTAGAGGCTTTGACAGCGTCTAATTAATAGTTACTTATTAGTGAACAAAATAAAAACAGGCTGCTGTGTCCTGTTTTTAGGGAAATCCCTATCTGATGACTGATTTGGAGGAATGTAAATTGATTTGTGAATTTCTGGAATTCCAGCCGGAAAGTGGTATGTTATTGCACCAGGAACTCTCAGCCTAACACATGGTACATACCAGGACTGGTGGAAATCACTGGACAAAATGACCAAAGGATTTTTGCGTTGATGGCAAGAGAAATTTGTTAGGTTAGGTTAGGTTAGGTTAACCTTTGCTGTCCACAATGTGAAAAATGTTCTTCTCTCCTCAGAAGAACAGCAGCATAGACCACAAATAAAAACAGTTGTAAAATAACAGTTAATCTGAAGAGCTCTGAGTTCAATCACAGTTAGATACAGTTCAACAAATGCATTTTGAAAATTACATAAATTACATTACATCATCCTTAACATATTTAGTTAAGTAGCGCTTGGGACAAAAGATTTCTTGTAATTATTTTCTGTGGTCCATTGCAGTTTTTTTTGGTATTCATCGTATACCTGTCCCTTAGCTACATATTTTGTTTCCCTATGATTTAAAAAATATGTCTAACGTCCCAAAAATGGATTAAAACAGGGGAGAGAGTAGCTGTCTAAAATTTGGGCTACGAAAGCATCATCAGTCAAAGTCAAAAAATTAAGGTTGGAACAATAATCATTGTAATGCTGTTTATTTCATATCATTATTGTTGGTATTACAGCTGTTATTAAAGGTGATGACAGATTTGATGGGCGATGAACTGGAAGATGCTCACATGGATGGTGTAAGAAATAATGACAAACACAGTTACACATTTTTCTCCTCCATATTTTTTGTCAGATCAGACTGATCGAATGTGTCTGACAGGCTGAGTGTGTGTAACAATCCATCTAATGACAGCACACAGCTTTAAATCTGCCTCTTGTGGCTTCTCCGGCTCGACTCAGTGATGTGTGACACAAAATGGCGCGAGTGAAACCTTCAAAGAGGAAACATAAATAATCTCACAGTTGCTATTTTTAAGCAGACTGTCACAATTTATCTGTCCTTTGCCATCGTCATGCATTGTTGCATCTTGAAAATAAAAAAAAGATTAAAATGAGTGTGTCATCTGCAGACTGAGTAACTTTTCTGAAAGTCAGTAATATGAGCAAGATGGGGAAGCAGGGATCTCTCCTTGGTGGCCTGCGTCTTGTTTACCAGAGATGGTTTGATTTATTCCATTTCGGGATCATCATCTTTAGGTCTAGAGAAAAGCCCAGGCTGCTCCATTAATCTCCAACCCGGTGTGTTTCCCGTCAGCAGTGACAGATGACCTGCCCTTCAACTCCCGGCCACACTGCGGAGAAGACACGTCGTCAATCAGGGTTCATTTCTCAGCTTCACCCAGTCAGAGTGTCCAGGGAGGGCGACGTGCATGTGGTGATGATAGCACTGTGTGTGTGTGTGTGTGTGTGTGTGTGTGTATATATGTGTATGTGTGGTCCAGGTATTTCTCCTGTTGTGGGGACCTACATCTGTTTACACATTCACATTATGGGGAAAAAATACAAATCCCCATAACGTAAATCTTAATATTATAAGGTGCTATGAGTTTTAAGGTTAGATTTAGTTGAAGGGCTAGGTTTAACTTAGGTTTAGGTTTAAGTGTAGTTTGAGGTATAGGTTGAGGGTTATGGTTAGGTTTAGGTTTAAGGGTTAGTTTATGGTTATGGTTAGGTTAATGTTCATGCTAAGGTTAGGGTAATGTTATGGTTATGTCTAGGTTTAGTTTAACAAAGGATACGCTTTGGTTTGGGTTAGAATTGGGGTTACGTAAGTACTAATGATGGTTACGGCTAGAATAAGTGTTGGGGATATCAATGTAAGTCAATGAAATGTCCTCTGAAGTCATGGTGACACGGCTGTGTGTGTGTGTGTCCAGGAAACAGGATCATCAGCCTGCTGCTGTGCACCTCTGTCTCCTGACAAATGAACAGATTATTTATGGGAAGCAGGAGGAGGAGGGTTTGTGGAACAGGGAGGTGTCAATGCACAAGAAGGGAGAGAGAGGAGAGGGTTACAGCAGGAACCCGTGAATATCATTCTGGCCAGCATCCATGTGCAAGGTGAAGGAGACGTGTCTCTTGTCCTGGTATTCCTTCCTGAATTGCATGTGTAGAAAAAAAACAAAACAAGAGACCACAGACAGTAAAGTGAGTCAATAACCGCAGACAGATTTAGCTCCGCTATTCATTTCAAAACGGGACGAATGTTAATTTTCTGTTGTTTTCTCACTGTGACAGATTCCCCACCCTCGTCTACAATAGTTAAGATGATGAACAGCTGTTTTGTGTCCACATGTGGCCGCTGAGGTTTTGGGTGCAGCTCACTCAGGAGGGACGTGTTTTGCAGCAGAACTAAACATGCAATCTTTTTAATGATACAAATATTTTGTCAGCGCTTGTCAACATCTTGGTGCTGAATCCTCTGTCGGATTCCCGGAGAAGAAATTACAGAAGAAGGCGCTCAGCGTCCTCTCTTCGTCTGTGCTCTCCGGTTGTTGATGTATGTGTCTCCACAGAGGGCCCAGACCCCTGCTTATGGGATGGCTGTCTGTGTGACAGCTCCCCGGTGCCCTGGCTGCTCTGTGGAACAAGCATGGATAGAAGGGCTGAGCGTGGGGCACGGCCTGTCACTCACTGCATGTCTCACTATACTGTTTTGGATCCACTGCCCCCCCTTTCTTCTTTTCTCTTCATCAGAAAAACAGAGGAGCGCTTGAATATGTGTAGCAAATTTCAAACAGACAAGACTAATCAGAAATGTTTCTGCGCTCTCATAGAAAAATATATATCTGACTTGCTTCCTGGAGTTGGTATTTATGGTGTCTGGAGGCTTGGGTGTGGTCAGGTAAATGAGATGGGTGAGGGTGTTTGTTTGGTGTCGAGCTAGCAGGAGCGGGTGGGGAAGGGGGGTGTCAGGCTGTGGTGGTGTCTGCCCGACAAGGTGTGCATTGGCGTCCGCACAAAAATGGACGCCCCGCAGGCACGGCCCCGCCTCTTTCCCACCAGATCGACTTTCTTCAGCGCAGGAATGAGACACAGACACCTCCTCCAGGCTGAGACATATAATCGGGGTCTGTCAGGGCCTTTATCAAACAGGATCAACTGGTGCGCTGGGCCTTTCTCCGCGGTCCCCACAGGCGGCCGGATACCTGCACACGCATTCCTTTGACACATCCCCGTCCCAAGAGGCGTATCGCCTGTCCATTATG